AACGAGCAAGACAAGCTGAAAATGAGTCATTGGTTTAAACTCATGGCCTCTCCTAAGACAAATCAGAAATCGTCTGTACAGGAACTGAAGAATTATTGACCGTATAGCAACTAACACTCCATCGCTATCTACCCCTGTCCCTAAAAAGACTACTTCGGTTAAGTCGAAGTCTACTAGCAGAATATATGCTAGTAGAGATGTTTAGGAGTATTCCCGAAGCTGACCGACGAGGATTTTAGGGTTTAGCCTCAACCTTCGACATCGGGTACAACCGGCGAGGATTAAGTGTTTAAGGAAGAAAGTAAGTAAAGCCGAATTCACACGTGTGGATCAAGGCGCGTCACAGCAACCTACTGATCACTTCCTATCACCCGATGTGGGTGCTCTTGTTGCATCAGTCGACGAGCTCGCCGTTAAAGTTGGGATTGGTCATGATACCCATGAATTGGCAGAGATCGACTATTACGCTAAGCTGACTACCATCAGGCAGAAGCATATAAACCATTTGATACAAGCGCAGTGAGATCAAGACAATCGTGACAGTCGATAGTACAAGGGTATGATCAATCGACTTAAGTCGAACAGAGACACCAATGCCAACAGGCCGGAATTCATGAATAACCATGATCTTGAAACTTTGACGCACACTCTACGTTTATTGCCCAAACGCAATGAATGCTTGCATTAATAACACAATGCAGTCATTTAAATCAGAGGCAACCAATTATCGGTTTTCAAACAAGCATATTGGCGTGGTAGAGCGATTGTATAACTTGCCAAAAGTATATTGGCTAGTAACACCCCTACCGAGCTAGGTCATGCGCATTTCGGGAATGTGCTATATTTTAGCACCTCCGGCACCCAACACCACCATCTTGAGCTATGTACTAAAGTTCGACGCTGATTTAGCGCGCCCCGATACAACTAGGGACGACAAACCAAAATGGTACAAGTTACTGGCCATGCATATGTTCTGTATGATTATTGGCAGTAACGATCGCGAAAAACTTTATATCGAACTTCGTAGCAAATACACTAATGAACCACGAGACCGGTGTAAGATAACGGGTTCCTATTAGTAGAAGCACATGTTTAACAAAAATTTATAGTCCTGGAATACGTAAAAAAAAAAGTAAAGGTAGATATTTGCAACAATCATAACTATTTGTTTTAGACCTCTGGTGATGCAATAGTACACTTTAGAGTACAGTGACTATACTGTGGAGTGTGGACATTTGGTGGTTTCTCATGAAATAGTAATTTGCTACCTTAACATCGGGAATTATACAAGACAGCGACTCAGTCGAAATTTAAGTCTAAAATTCGACACCAGGTATATTTTTGAATACTCACAGAGGAAGATAATCCACTGTGACATATTCTATCCAGTCAACTAGATGTGTCCGTCTAGACCTTAAATGAGATGGAGAGCTAGGTACCAAGTGATGGGGTTTCAGGTGCCGTGGAACTACTACATCAGCATAGGGTATTTATTTTGATATTGATATTCTTAATTTGGACATAAGAGCTATGTTTTCGATAAACTCATAGGATTGTTTCGAAGCATGAACACGATATAGAATGCGACCAATAAAACGCTGTCTGATTTTGGTTGTTGACCCCAAATAAATCTAGACCGGTGTAGGAAGTGATTAGAGTGTAACTACATAGACAACAATCTTAGTCCAAAATCTCAGATTCTTTTAGCTCGCTACCGAGGGCTGAAGCTAAACCCCTTTTCTATTGCAAATTAACGCATTAACGTAATTACTTTGATGTAAACGTTGCAATAGCATATGTTCAATCTGGCTAGACCGACTACACATATTATGAAGTTTACAGGGTATCTGTACTATGGCAGCGACGTCCTCTAGACATAGAACTAAGGTTGTAGCATTTGGGGACCAGATTATTAGAAAGCCAATGCAAAATCCAAAACAACAGAATCATCAAATACTGAGTATTAGGAGGATTCAAATATTCCTGTTATTACAGTCATCAGAAGTAATAGCGGTAGAACCGGTAAGGTATACAGGGGCTCCGCGTGTGAGAGAAACACTCAAGTAGAAACCTGAGTATAGTGAAAAATAAAAATAAAACACAAATAAAGACTCAGTTTGATTCTCTCAGACTAGGGACTTTTTCTAGCTGAGATGACCATACTTGAGAAGTGATCTATTGTACCGTTTGTACATTTGTTACAATATCATTACTTAGATAAGTCAACTAAATTACACTCGAAAATCAAAAGAACCCCGAGTGAAGTATTCAACTGTACAAGGAGTCTCAAAGATACTTTATTTTAAGCAGAAAGGTAAGATGAGACATCAACAAGTAAGCCGACGCTATTCTAATCACAGAAGGAAAAGAGCAGAGACGAGTTTGTAGAGTTTAATAGTATCTGAAAAGATACGACCAAAGGAAACAATAGACCTCTTCTCTGGTGTGAATCTTTCAGCTAGGTAAAAGAGACGACTCTAACCACAGAAGAAAAGCAGCATAGACGAGTTTGTAGAGTTTTACAGTATCTGAAACGATACCACTAAAGGAAACAATAAAGCTCTTAACAAGTGCGAATCTCCCAGCTAGATAAAAGTCCTAGGCTGAAGAGCTCGCATTGAGTCTTTATTCATGTTTCTACACAAGACTCAAATTCTACTTGAGTGTTTCTCTCACACAAGGGGGTCCCGGTATCATCTACCGGTAATGCCGCCATATTTCTGATCACTCTAATATCAGAAATATTTGATCTTGAATCAAAAACTCAGTATTTGATAATCCTGGGGTTTGAGTTTTGGATTACCGTTTCTGATAATTTGGTCCCTACAGATGTTACAAGTTCCAACCACAAGAGGTTAGCAGTCTACTTCGAAGCCACTCCTCGCTCACAGTAACATGGGGAGAACAACCAAAATAATCGTATCGTGTTCAAGCGTCTCAATAACCAGGGTAAACGTATCGGGATACAGTGCGGAGTTGTCAAGGGTAGGGAAAAGAACAGTTAAGTGTCAAGGTGAAGGTGAGATAAGAGGATAAGCTACTGAAAGGGGTAAATGATTTATAAATGTTGGAGATTTTCAAATAAGAAAAACATCCTGAGGTCAGGACCCCGAACGGAAATCACGCTACTTCACCATATTCCCTCTATACAAGTAATAAAAACTACACAGTAACCAAAAACATCAAAGAGCCAGGGCACAGACAAAAACGTGCATAAGTGGGGCACCCATTACACATGTCTAACAAGCCACGAGCTTGACTATTAAATCTTCACATCCGAAACTATAATCACAAAGGTTCAAAGCGATAAAAAACACTATCCATCAGTTAAACATAAGGTAACATCGTTATAGATGGTATAAATCACAACGCACATTGAAATATAATCTCATTCTGAAGAGTTCAGGCAGGGCATGCGTAGACAAGAGGGTACACTAATAAATCTCATCCTAAAAAACTTAAGTAGTGGGACACAAGGACACATAGTAAATACCGATGATTAAAATATTACTGAACAAAACAAGCTCACCGAATGGGGAAAAGCTAAAAAAAGACTACCTCAAATGCCCATACAACGACAGGAAGCACAGAGCAACTGGCTATAAGCAACTCACTAAAATACAATTTACATTGCGGGGGACGTTCATACATAAACACATAGACACATGAGGAGTGAAGACTAAAGAATTGTACAATCAGTCTTTACAACGCAGAGCAATGGTAGGTAGAACCGTTACGTATATAATACGTAGTCTACAACTACGGAGCCAGTTTATCTACGCGACACAGAAGCGAAGTATAATCGCTTATAACGTCAGTCAACGAATTAACAGTCGGCAAACGATTGACAAAAGGGCATTAGACTAAAAACACAA